TAGTTCTATGTGAGTCATATCTGATGACCCATACTTATTTTCAAGGGATAGAGCATGAATTGCACCACTGGATCTTATTTTGTGACACATCGTATCTTGAGTCTCTAAGTTATCTCCTTGGGTGCAAATTTAAGAATTATCAATGACCTAGTTTTGGGGAATATTGATTGAGGATGGTAAGTCACTAATCGATTAAAAGTATGCAATAAAGTAGTATGAAAACTCAATCATCTCATTGTTACACGTCTGTATATTGATTTGTGAGCTTGTGAGCCGATTTATATCAATTGTCATTGGGTATGTAATATGAGGTATCTCAAAGGTGCTCTGGGGTGAGGGAGGGTGAAGTATCTTGTATTCAACATATGATACTCTAGAAAATAAGAAAATAAAGACAAGCTGGAAGGTGGAATTACTATCTCAAAAACATATTAGAAAGATCTATTACTTGAAGTCCGCCACATGATGTATTTTGTGTAGATGGTAGATGGGAATGTAATTTTATGGGAAAACAAGAAATAACCTAGTCTCTTATTCAAGCATAGAATCAAAATACTTATATGGTTCATGATTGACACTTGTGAAATAATGTGGTACCAAACGACTGTTGTGGAGATCGGGCGTTCTATTTTTAAACTAAAGAGGCTATATTGCGATAATCTTTTTGTGATTCGCATAACCAATAACCAGATCTTTCACGAGAGGACGAAGCACATCATCATGTTATAGCTAATCATGTTGTGGTGTCATAGAAGATCTTATGATCATCCAGCCTATCCCATTTACACTCAAATCTAGTATCGATTTTTGGACATCTTGTCATTCTCTCTAAAACAATCAAACAAACCAAACCAAATGAACATAGTTGCACACAAAGTACGTTATGTGGATGGTAAGATGTACGCAAATCTTTCCTCTAGTTCAAGGAGTAGAGAGGCTATTTTCGTGAAGATCCTTGGCTTGCCAAAAAGTTTGTGGAAAAGAATTTGCAGATTTGGGGGGGATTTTGACCTATAAAAAGTGCAACAAATGAAGTATTTAGTTAATGGAGAGCTTGAGACAATGTAGGGAAAGGAGGCATGAAAAAATACAGCCAGCGAGTATGATAAACACCTTGAGAAATAATTTAAACATGTAGGGACACTAAAGGCATACATGGAGGTACGGAACAACTAAACAACCTAAAGATGTAGTGTAGCAAAACATTAGATCAAGTAAGTGAATCAAAAGACCCTTTGCACCAAAACTACTACCGGCTACCCCTAAAAGAGCCCCCCTTATCTAATCTAGGGCTTTGATGTCTAGCTGTCGGCTCTCTACTCTTCCTCAACCCACCTTCGACCACTCCAACCCCCTCCCCTGACCACAATAACTGCAAGTCTTTATAGAATATATGCTACCCTATGTATTGATTTAATGTGCAGTAACATAGACATCACATATCTCCATGCTCCAACTTTAGAAGTGTTACTTGTACTTAGTTTCAACTTATGTATAGGACTTGTGTAATATTGAGGTAAGTATGTTATGCTTTTCTAGCTTATTTATTTTTGCTTTATTCTTGTCTCACTGTGTACACATAGTAAATACAAGCCATGGAGGGATAATTGATGAAAATCTAATACTTTGATTGTCTAATAGTCAATTCAACAAAGAACCACTTGGATACTAGCTTGAAAGCAAATTAGTTAACAATTGAACCCAATAGCTGTAGCAACATGAGAATGAAGCAATCAAGTGTAAAATGAGTAAATGACAATAAACAATATCATGTAAGAATGTGTGTGCTCCAAGCTTCCAACCAATTCAAAGAAGGTAAACAAGTGAGTTATTCCGGTCATCAAGCCATCAAATAACATGTAACTATTTGACATGTTTCGACACTTAACAACTAACTTGGCCACTTGGTATTTAATATTCAATCTACTAAAATTCTAATGATGCTCGATGGACGTGGAATCCAAAATCATGTCGTCAAATTAATGCAAACCATCATGGTTCATTAACTTAATACTGATGAAAATAAAATGATTATGTTCAAAAAGTACTCAACAATATTAAGATGGGCTGGAGTTGCTCGTAAAGAACCAAACATAACTTGGAATAGTAGCAATAATCACCTACAATTTAAGAACAACTATACTAATGCTCAAACTGTATACATGTACAAGCCTTTCAATAACACAAACAAACACCCTTTACAAACCCTCGTACTCTCCACAAGTACAATTTAGAATTCTTTTAATTTGTTACAAACCCTAGCTCAATAACTTTTTGCTAGTAAGACTTATAAAAGTGTGACTTGAGGGGGTGAGGAGGAGGGGAAGGCCGAGGAGGACGTGCAATGAGAAATTAAGGATGGACATGGTAGTCTTAGGCATTTTCCCACCATGTTCGAGGACATGACCTCTGATAGCAGTACGTGGAGATGGAAGACTAGGGTAGCATTCTAGATGGGGGACCTGCAGCTCGCGTGGTTGGCAAAAGGGACTTGGAAGAACACAACTTTCACATTGAAACCCATAAATGAATTTTTCTTTTTCTACTATGTCCGAGTCTAATGTTTTTGTTGATAAGATTTATAAGGAGAACCAGGGAAGTATAGATTGTGGGGTTTTTTTAGCAATGGCAATAATCTCAAGACCGCTCCTGAAATTCACAATGTGTAGGAACACAAGTTACTACACAAATCTTGATCCTTTAGTCCGGTAACTGATAGTGAGTTAAGATGTAATTTTGACACATATAAAACTGAATTCAGTTTTAACTCATCATAAATAACATTCTTAGTGGCACTTACACAAGTAACCTTTTCGTATACAGTTGGTGGTTGGTTTGAAGTCTCTCAATAATTTATGTTTCCTGTCATATGATTAGAAGCACCGGTGAATATCTACGATCCATCCTTCAAAAATCCTCCTTTTAAGAAAGATGATAGAATATACTTATCTTGGTGCTCCTCATTACCTGCTGGAGTAGAGGAAGCATCAGTAGGTTGCAAGAGGGTTTTCAGTACCTCCATTTGGGCGACTGTAAAGGGGCTTGGAGGCGAGATATTTTCTATAGAGGTCTCCGCAACATGAGCAAATGTAGTCACTGATTGTTGCCTTTGAGGAGTCTAGTTTGGAGGCTTTTCATGTAGATCCCAACATTGGTCCTTTGTATGATACAATTTCTTGTAGTGGTCACACCAGGCCTTGACATTTTTGGGTTTTGCATTCTTTTGTCCTTCATATCTGTAGGTAGCAAGGGCAGATCTACAGATCCTTGGGGTTTGCAGCATCACCTTTTTCGACTTTCTTCTCATCGGACTTCTGCAAACACTTCTTTAAGAGAAGGCAGAGGTTTGGTACAAAGAACTCTACCCCTAACCTCGTCTAGTTCCTTGTTGAGACCGTGAAGTAAATCAAAGATTATGTCCTTTTCGAGCATCCAGGCATAATGAGTACCGGCTTGAGGACATAACTCATATATGTTGTTCATCTCCGGTCATAATTCCGTTAGTACATTGTAGACGGTTGCAGACCTTTTTCCTTGGCTGATATTACAAAGAGACGATTGAATCTCTAAACGCTGTGAGGTGTTTTCAAGATTAGAGTACATCTGTTGAACGGCTTTCTATATTTCAGGGCGATGTTATAAAATAGGTTTTGCCAGTATTTGGGGTCATTGAATTGACAAGCCATGCCATGACAATGGAGTTTTTTCGCCTCCCATACTTTGTAATGATCATCCTTTTTGTCTGGAGCCTTAGTTTCTCCTGTAAGGTAGCTGATCTTTCCTTTCCTTCTAATAACGAGTAGAACAACTTGGAACCATTCACGGAAGTTCGATCCATTGAGCTTATGTTGGGTAATTTGGAGGGAGGAATTGATTTCGGCCAATAGGAGAGAGGATGAAGTTTGGTTTTGAGATTGATGAGTGGCAGAAGATTCGGTAGAACCTGTCATTATCGAGGATTGTTGGTTATCAAAAAACAAAGAACAAGATGATTACCATCCAAACGAGACACAGAAACAATGATCAACACAAGAAGATCATAGATCCAAACTTAGCCAACAGAGATCGTTTAGCTATGATACCATGAGACAACGAGAGAGTTGAAATTTTTGAGAACTTCTATATTTTCGTCACATGGATGTACAAGATTTATATTACAAAGGTAACAAGGAAACCACATAATTTAGAGCAATTAACTTGCTGGACAAACTTCTAAACATAAAAGTTCTTTCCTAAACATCAGCAGGATGATTGTTACAAATTCCTTTCTCTTAAGAATTTTCTTCTTTTCCAACAGGTTGTGATGTGGCCCCTTGCTTGTGGCATGTACGCACTGTGTGCAATGGCTATTGCCATTTGGCTATCATCGCACAAGCAGTTTCACTTGGCCCTCTCTTTTAAACTTCTAATTGAAATCAAACCATAAAATTTGTTACTGTTCTCTTTGTCACAAAATTCTAGTTTGTAAAAAATTACACTTAGATCCTCAAAAGTTTGTGGCCAAAGTTTCCCTGACCCTACTTTTGAGTGTGATATACCTGGTATGTTTGGTTTTTATTCTGATGCTTCAGTCTGTTTGTTTGTGCTTTGTTCTTTTCCTATCTCACTGCATCGTTTTCTTTGATTGCGGCTAATGCAAAAGGAATCGCTATTTTGCACTCTGTTTTTCCTGTGTGATCAGAATATGGGAAAGAGATAACTTATTCAAGTTTGGAACATTAGGGCTTTAGTTTTAAAGATTTGCTTTTTTTTGGCAAGTGTGCATGATTGATATGTATGATCACACTTGAGGAGGCTCGTTAGAAGATAGATGTATGATATATCAGGCATGGTGTTAGGTTGTTTCAGTGGTTTAATCATAGTAAACCTAAATTTGTTCCAGACACTACATCTTTTACTAGACATTGTTGTTGTATATAGTATATGTCTGCATTTATAAATTCTGGTTCTATATTCCATCATGTGTATAATAAGCACCCAATATATATTTGCTCGAACAGGTCCTGTGGTCTTGCTTTGATAGACTCGAGCTTAGTCCATCAACCATCAAGAATGTCCTTCTACTTGGTTACGCTAATGGATTTCAAGTACTTGATGTCGATGATGGTTCTAAATTCAGCGAATTGGTTTCAACTCGTGATGATCCAGTCACGTTTCTACAAATACAGCCAATGCCTGAAAAGTCTGAGGGTCATGAAGGATTCAAGATGTCACACCCTTTGCTATTGGTTGTGGCTAGTGAAGAGGCAAGGCTTTCAGGTCTGTCATATAATGAGAGAGATGAATCTCAGTTGGAAAATTCCACGTACTCTTCTAGAGCTGTTCGGTTTTACTCGTTAAGGTCGCACAGTTATGTTCATGTTTTGAGATTCAGGTCTACTGTGTATATGGTTAGATGCAGTCCACGGATAGTCGCTGTAGGTCTTGCTTCACAAGTAAGTACCCATCTATATTGATTTTTAAATTTATCTTGGTTTCCTGATTTCACTTATGAAATTTCTGTCATTTTATGTCTAATTCAGTTCCCAACTTGTTTGAGAAAGGAGCTGTGCTGAGTATAGTTGTCGAAGTTCACTTTTTGTTAACCTTGAGTTCGGATTGATGCAATAAAGTGATCTCTAGAAAAGGCATGGATCATATTAAAATTATATTTTTCTTTAATTTTAAAGGAATGTCATGGAACTATTAAGCAGATGTATTAAATAAGCGTCGACCTTAGATGGCTACAAGACTCCAAAACCTGTATACTATCAGATTAGCTTGCAATATGATCTCATGTCATTTATGTTAACTTTTCATGGCAGATATATTGCTTTGACGCACATACTCTTGAAAACAAATTTAGCGTGCTCACTTATCCAATATCTCAGTTGGGAGGACAAGGACTCTCTGGGATTAATATTGGTTATGGGCCAATGACTGTGGGGCCTAGGTGGTTGGCTTATGCTTCCAACAATCCATTGTTAACAAACACGGGACGCCTAAGTCCTCAAAATCTAAGCCCTTCCCCAGGTGTAAGTCCTTCAACCTCACCTGGCAGTGGAAGTTTGATGGCTCGATATGCCATGGAATCCAGCAAGCAGTTGGCTACTGGGCTCATTAATCTGGGAGACATGAGCTACAGAACTTTGTCAAAGTATTGTCATGAGCTTCTCCCTGATGGTTCCAGCTCTCCCATTTCATCAAACTCTAGCCGGAAAGCTGGTAGGGCTGTGGCTCATTCAACTGAAAATGCTAATGCTGGAATGGTAAGAGTTCTGTAATTTGATACTTCAGTATTCAATTAAATAATATATAACTATTGGATTTTACTTGCACTTAAATGCACGTGTTTGACAGGAAAATGAAAAATTGATTTCAGTCATGCAAGACATCTCATATTTTCTGCTTGTCTTTTTGGATGTTTGACAAACATTATGTATCTCGAATTTGAAGAAACATCTGACGAGTTATGTAATATAGCAATGAGATTCTCTTTTTCTTTTTTACTTTCCTTGTTCTTTTTCGAGGCTTTGTGTTGTTAGCTGCATTATTCTGGTATTTTAGTATAAAAAACACAAAAGCGAGCTCTCATGCACAGCTAATGATGCTATATCAAGTGTTTAAGATAGACACACACTTGTTAAGTCCTCAGCTATTCTTGTAGATGGTTGACTATCAAAATGAATGTGGATTAAGAGTTGCACTTTGCTCTCAACAGTACCATTAAATCTTTATATGGCCCATGTGGAAAAATACCAATGTGAGAGTTGCTTTTGTGGTATACATATAGCTAGGAAGGATGGAAATGTGATTGTATTAGGTGTATGGATCTATCACTTAAAACATATAAAATGTGGATGAGGCCATGCAGCACACATATCTATGTGTGTGTTAAACATGTAAACATAATCATATTATTTGAACTCATACAAAATAATCTGTCAAACTACTTGCTTATCAAACTCTACTGTAATGCCACGGGACACTAACACACAGACAATTACAAGTATTGAGAAAAATTGAACAAGAAACGGAAAGGAAATAGAGATGATAGTAGATATGTAGTAGTAATAACGAGCAGAGGGGACGAGTATTAATGAGTGAAGAAATCGAGAGAAGGTAAAATTCTAAATTATTTGACGTGTTGTGTTTTCTTCCTGAACCTGGAAGTGTTTGAAGCCTTGAAATCATTACTTAAACCTATTAAGACCCTAAGACAAAGTCAAGCTGTTTCTGACAGCCATATGAGTTTCCGAGGCGAATTGGAGCCTCACCAATTCAACTGAGGTGTATCCATGGACCATGTTACATTTTTTCAATTTTAGTAAATTGTGCGTGCATGGTGGCACCTTGGTACACCAAGTGTGGATGGCTTGTTCCAAGTTAAATTCAGTACTTTCTAGCTCTACATAATTATTTCCGGATGTAAACCTTTTTATGGAAGTCGATGTAGGATGACATAATCTTGCTGGAGATCAATATCCTAAAGGACTGTTGATGTTTAATTAACAGTTAGAATCATTCATGCAATATAAGTTCTTATTTGAAGCGTATCATTGCAGGTTGTGATTAAAGATTTTGTATCTAGAGCCGTTGTTTCACAATTTAGGGCCCATACAAGTCCCATATCTGCACTATGCTTTGATCCGAGTGGGACTCTTCTGGTCACTGCATCAGTACACGGGAACAATATCAATATTTTTCGAATTCTTCCGTCCTCGCAAAACGAATCAGGATCCCGGAACTTTGATTGGAATTCTGCTCATGTGCATCTTTACAAGCTCCATCGTGGAATGACTTCTGCTGTGTGTTTTCGCTCTTTTTTTCTCTGCTTGTTCTGTTTTTTTCCTTCCAGAATTTGAGCCGTCAGATTGATTATTTGGTGATCTAGCCTTTTTGTTTCTTTAACAGGTGATACAAGACATTTGTTTTAGTAACTATAGTCAATGGATAGCCATAGTTTCATCTAGGGGCACATGCCATATTTTCTTATTTTCTCCTTTTGGTGGTGAGACTGGTATTCAGTTGCAAAATTCCAAAAGCATTGGCCGAACACTCTCAGCTTTTGTCTCGGTACCTTGGTGGTTTACTTCGTCTTTCATGAAAGATCAATCGTTATCACCACCTGCCCCAGCAGCGATCACTCTGTCTGTGGTTAGCAGAATAAAAAATAACTTTGGGTGGATCAATACAGTAAGCGGTGCTGCATCAGGAAGGGTATCTGCGCCACCTGGTGTCATTGCAGCCACTTTCCACAGTTCTGTGCGTCACAATGCAGAACCTGCTGTCTCAAATGCCGATATCTTAAAGCACCTGCTGGTATACACTCCATCTGGTTACGTGATTCAATATGAGTTGTTGCCTTCTATAGGGAGAGAGCAAGGCGAATATTTTTTGAGGGTGGGGACAGCTTCACAGGGGCAGGCTCAAGATGAAGACTTGCGGGTGAAAGTCGAACCAATTCAATGGTGGGATGTTTGCCGCAGAACAGGTTGGCCAGAAAGAGAGGAGTTTATTGGTGGGGCGGCTTCTAGGGGACACAATCCAGCAGCAACTGTCATGACTAGTTCTGATGATGAAGATATTACTGTGGAGAAAGATTCAATTAAACACCAAGAACGATCGCGTTGGATTCCCCATGCTGAGGTGCAAATGAGGTCTGGGAGAGTTCCAGTTTGGCAGAAGTCCAAGGTACTAACAAATCTGTGATGTTCTATGTTGGTATTTTGCAAAACTGCTTATGATCTTATCCTGTTATGCAGATATATTTCTTTGTGATGGCGCCACAATTATCTGAAGAGCTAAATATCGGTGGAGAGGTTGATATTGAAACAATCCCAGTGCACGAGGTTGAAGTTAGGCAGAAAGATTTGCTGCCCGTCTTTGACAGCTCTTCTGTGGTCCATTCGGGTTGGACCGATGGCCGGTAACCTCACATGGATCTTTCAACTATTTATTTTCTTTATTTCGTCGCAACTTCATCATAATATTGGTAACTTTAGACTCTTAGGGCCGTTTACCAAGAGTCACCTTTCTTTCTTATCTTATTGGATAACATTCTCGGCTATCAAATGGACCAGACAAGTGTCTCTTACCCGGTAAGCGCTAACCGGGTAAGAGTTCTTCCTCACTGGGTAAGAACCTCAGTTGTTGCCATGCCTCCTACTAGATAAGATTCTCGGTTCTTGCAAAGCTTATGCGATAAGGTAAATGACCCGGTAAGCGTTTGGTAAACGGCCCTAACCAAACGCTTAACGGGTAAACGCCTACTGGCAAGAGTCACCATCCTTCCGAGCCTTACCAGGTAACATTTTTGGCCATCAAAATGGATTGTTGCTAAGTGTCTCTTACCTGGTAAGCGCTAACCAGGTAAGAGTCTTTTTCCTCACTTACCGGGTAAGCATCGGCATGCCTCCTACCAGGTAGGATCGGTCTTCGCCACCCTGTAAGGTAAATGACCTGGTAAGCGTTTTGTAAACGGCCCCTTAAACACATACATATTGCCATATATGTTGTATGTTATATATATGTTCATTAGTGGTGGTACTACCATTTAGGGTTCCCCGAGGATCCGTTTGGTTTGCTGGAATGGAAAGGAGTTTGGGAAATTTGGAATTCAAATCCATTCTAATTCCGTGTTTGGTTTGCAGGATTGCTCGGATTTGAAATCTTAGAATTTATTTGAAATCCCTCAAACATGGGATTTTGTAATCCCGTAATGGTTGTTGGGATTTCAAGGGGTTTTGAAGGATTTGTTTATAATAATGTTTTAAAATATGTTAAAAACGTTTGTTTTCCAATAATAAGGTAATTTAATTATTTTTATAATTATCTGTAATTTGTTTTTACAAGTTATTTCTAAAGAATGGACTTTAATTTCATTCCAAATCCTAAAAACCAAACACATCAAACATTCCAAATCCTTCCATGAAATCCAAATCCCTCCAAACCATTCCACCAAACCAAATGCCCCTCAGAGTTCATTTATATCTTCCGCTGATCTGTTTATTACCACTTTGTTGATTAGGAAAAAGTTGAAATGTACTTCTTGTCTAAGTATTAGACTTGTGAATGCTGCTGAAATATCATGAGCAGTATGGCTATAGATTCTATTAGCAGATTTTACTCCTGTGATTACAAACTTCTTTGAGTTGTCTAGATTCTAGAACAGGAACTGGGATTATGACCAACAGACCAAGACTGATATAAAACTGCCATAGAAGCACTCACTATGAAACCTGACCATTCAGTGATGGAGCTTGTGCCACTCGAATTAACGTTAAATGGTATATTTTCCACTAACAAGATCAAATCATCTCTAAAAATGAAAAACATATCTACGCATACCAAATAATCGTTCAAGTTACGGACTCCTGTAATCCATTCTCTGTGGAAAATTTCTTTAACTATTGACGTCAAATAAAACATTATTGCGAAGTTCAGGGGAAATATCCAAATGATAGTCGAAGTTAATATCATGCAAAGGATGCTTTGGGCATGAATTCTGTCTGGTGAGTATTAATTGGTCTTTGGGTGGGAAATATTCAGCAAATGATTCAGTAGTGTAATAGACATTTGCTACAAAGTATATTGATTCTTTCAGTTGATGCGTTCATATGTTTAAAGCTTTTGTACACAAGACTCCTTACTTGGCCATAGGCTTATGGAATTCTGAGAAGATCCATGTTTAACATATTTAAATCCTAAGCATGTTGATTCATTTGAGTAGCAAGAATACGGTTTTATTAGCAGGACCATTCTTAAGATTTAGTTTCTTTCCTGCTGAAGCTTTAATGTCATTTCTTTGAAGAGTCGTTGCTGCTGGTAGATATTCTGCTTCTTCTTCCAACAATGATAGCAGCGATGAAAAGTTCCCTCAAGATTCTACAGTCTTTCGTGGTAAGCTGATTTTCTGTTACGCAAGTTAGCTTTGTTTGGTTTCTCATCTAACATGCTTTTCCATCAGGGTCGTCACTGGCACCTGCGAACATGCAAAACATGGAACAGATGGATCCACGTAAATCTTATCCTATTCTTGCTTCAACTGTAAATAATAATGATAGCGTGAATAGGATAAGCTCTTTTGCTCGAGTTGATGGTGTGTTAACTTCCGCTCTTGAAGAAATCATGAATTCCCCATCTCCTGGAGTAGCCATTGCTCCGTCTTCAGAAAGCATTGTGACTAGTGATGCTTCGAACCCAGGTTCTAACCGTTCTGACTTGAGTATGAATATGGTTGATGAAGTTCCAATGCATGAAGATATGCTAGAGTTTGGACATGATTTCCAGCAAGAGTACTGCAAACCATCAACTGAGGAAGAAATTTCTCCTAAACTTAGAGAAAAGGCTGATGTTGATGGTAATAATAGTCGCCATCAGAGGAGCAAATCCGAGGAAGATGGTGATAGCGACAGTATGCTTGGAGGGGTGTTTTCATTCTCTGAAGAATGTGAGTATTTCTTCATATAATTTAATCAGCAGATAACATATAGGGAAATAATTACATTTTCTGCTTCCCCTTATTATCCCGCAACCCCGCAGTTCCTGCAATGCACATTTTTGAAACACAAAATGAGGGTTAGACCACATGGTCTAGTGAGTAAATCTCTTCTTTGCAAATGCAGGGTGATGAACACCAAAATCTGATAAAATATCTTTTACACAGAAGTAATTGCATTTCAGCAAAATGTAATTTGATTGGATAATCAAAATATTAGCCAACAAATTACTACAGCATATAACCCAAATGCACCTCTCTAAAACCCAGAGCTCAATATAGAACTCTAACTCATCGGGCCAGAGCTCTTCTGGCTCAACGGGCCAGAGCTTCTCTGGTTCCACAGACCAAAGCTTCTCTGCCCGTACCAACCAGAGCCTCTGGTTCTACTAACCAGAGCCTCTGTATCTAAGTGATACAATACTCAACCAGCGATCTTCTGGTTTATTAGTGATTCTAACTCAAAAGAATCTACCATAGCTTAAAATAACACTTGATTCTCCACATTTGCATATAACACATATTTAATTTCAAAGAAATATAGTTTATACCACATAGGTCCCACTAGTACAAAGATTTTTATATGTACAAAATTTACATATGAGAAAAAATTCCAAAATAAATCCGTGCACTAACACATGTATGACAACATGTATCTTCAAAATATGCAATCATCAAGTTGATCTTCATAAGCAGATAACATACAAGGAAATAATTACATTTTTCCCTTCCCCTTCTTATCCCACAACCCCGCAGTTCCTGCAATGCACATTTTTGAAACACAAAATGAGGGTTAGACCAGATGGTCTTCTGAGTAAATCCCTTCTTTGCAAATGTAGGGTGATGAACACCAAAATCTGATAAAAAATCTTTTACACAGAAGTAATTGCATTTCAGCAAAAGAATGTAATTTGATTGGGTAATCAAAATATAAGCCAACAAATTACTACAGCATATGACCCAAATGCACCTCTCTAAAACCCAGAGCTCAATATAGAACTCTGGCTCAACGGGCCAGGGCTCCTCTGGCTCCATGGGCCAGGGCTCCTCTGGCTTCACAGACCAAAGCCTCTGTACTAACCAGAGGCTCTGTATCTAAGTGATACAATACTCAACCAAAGATCTTCTGGTTTATTAGTGATTCTAACTCAAAAGAATCTACCATAGCTTAAAAGATGTATAAAATAGAATCAAAGCTCTTCTGACTCTTAATTTTTGTTTATAATTATTTCTGAAGAAAAAGATAGTTTTAAAGAATAAAATTATGATATAGATTTAGGATACAGAGCTTCTGTATGAAACATACAGAGCTTCGGGTTTATAAAATTCCCAAAATATTTAAAGCCTTTTCACATGAGCAGCGGTCTTCTGGTCCTTTTATAAGACCAATCAGAGCCCTTTTGTATGTATTTAAACTTGATAGAAAACTTGGGCAATGAAAGCTTCGGATGACAAACCATTTTCCCCTTCTCAATAACATTTAAATTATTATTTCTATAGAGCACAATATCTTTAATTCATCAAGTCACAAAGAAATGCTGATTTAGAGCTATTGTATCTAATTAGTGATAATAACAAGAGCTATATTAATATCTACATCTGGCATTGGCACCCTTATTCCATGGTACACCTCTCCTTGATATGCCACCCTTATTCCTCCTTTAAAACAGGGTTACTTGCCAGAACATACAAAAGTCACTACGTCTGGAAGTACACATCACCCAGTTCCAAGCCAAAACAGACAAATATCACCACGTCTGGGGGAACTACCTCTTAAAACAAGTTTCATTCCAGAACAGACAAAAGTCACCACGTCTGGAAGAAACATTTCTCAAAATATAGTTTCATACCAAAACAGACTTACGTCACCACGCTTGGTGAAAACATTTCCCAAAATATAGTTTCATACCAAAACAGACTTACGTCATCACGCTTGGTAGAAACATTATCTTTCACTTTAAAAAGATATAAAATACCGTTTTCACAATAACAAATTTAACACCCAAATAAATGTTAAATTGTGAAAATCCAATATTAAAACTCAAACCAACAAGTATATTGTACGGACAACTTGTATCCGGTCAAGCTCATCCGGCCAACACATGTCCGGAGAGGCTTAACCGGACACCTCATCCGGACAACACAATCAATTAAGCAATCACCCTATCCGGACGCACCCTTATCCGGACAATATGGTGTCCGTACATAAAATTAGTCAAACCCGTACAAAATTCTTAATCCGGGTATCACTGGCCGGATGCTATCATCGGACAATAAATGTCCGGGTATGGTCACTCATCGGTCAATATAGTGATCGGACCCTGCCCTATCCGGACAATACTATGTCCGGATATAATCATTAATGAACAACCCTCTATCCCAATCCGGACAACACTGTGTCTGGGTATGACTAATCCGGTCAACACAGTGACCGGAGACAGTCCTAATCCAGCTGTTGAATATGGTCAAGAACAAGATGCAATATATTCAAAATATCATTATTCCAAAGATAAAAACCAGTATCAAATTGTATGCAAAGGATGTTTTGAAAATACTCACTTTACGAAATTTCAGAATTTGAAGATGAATGCAAATACGAATCAAATCTTCAGTTAAGCAAAAGCAAGCAAAATCCACAGAATTATTCTCTCTCTTACTTAATTTTCCCAAAAATGGCAAGAAACCTTGCCTTCATCCTTCCCCCTCTATTTATACCTTTCCATATTAGGAAAGGCGGTTACACACCACATATATGCATGTATACAACCTACATACATAACTCATGCATGCAATAAATTCATGCACACACAATCACATCTCATGCATATTCATATCATATGCATATACTTAAAATTATGCATACACTTTCATGCATGAAAATACACGTACTCACATATAAGACTCATGTAAGCATGTATCCACATGATCAATTAGTCACATATTTCCCATATCAAATAATCACATAATAAATACCTCGGGTGATAACCAGACCTAGTTATCGCAATTTGACATCTGGCTTACTTCACTTTCATTTTTAAAGCCATTATATATGAAAAGGGGCATCCTTACCCTTTTATGATCTTCTGTCATGAGTCTCAAAAATCTGTGGTTATCTCCTAAGTAACCCGAGAAGAGAGCAGCTTCTGATGAATCAGACTTGAAATTTAAGATTAAGCAGATGTTTGAATGTTGTATTAGAAGGGAAGTACAAAGTGAAGTTGGCTGCGTTTTTTCAGAAAATTGTATTGTTGCCCCACGTCATTCTTTTTTCAAATTCTCTGGGCCGACATTTTTCACAAGCTAAAGCTTTGCATAACATGGGTTTTGTTTTTGTTTTAGTAATGATCTGAAACTGGGGTTGTGGATGCAACTGCAGGTTGATGGTAATGTGTGTTTGATATGGAAGTGTAACCAACAGTGATTGATTTGAGAGGTGACCGTGTTGTTTCTTGGTGGCTCGAGGGACAGTTGTTGGTTTTCTCTCTCTGTTCTAATTCTTGTGTACATGATGTATAGTAAGTAGTAGTCATTTGTGTAACATTACTTGTTTTCAAATTAAATGTTAGAACATCTGGACATTCTTTGATTTTGTCATACTTATGTGTTGGCTCATCAATCCTTCTGGATGTTAGGACTGACCTCTTGTGATGTGGTGAGTGTTAGGGGCCGTTTACTAAACGCTTACCCGATAAGTAATTACTGGGCAATTTTCCTTACCGGATGAACATGGCAAGGGACAAGAATCTTATCCGGTAAGAGCGATGATAAGAATGAGGGGTCTTAGCCGGGTAAGCGCTTACCAGGTAAATTGTTGCAAATACGTTTTGATGTACTACAATCGAACCTCAATAAAATAAATTATAGTGTAGACTCTTAATAGTAAGCGCTTACCGGGTAAGCCATTAGGTAAACGGCCCCTTAGTGAGTCAAATCGTTGTTTGTTTCGGCTCTGCTCATGAAGATAATATCAAGCTGAATAATGTTTTCAATATTCGAGTTTGAGCTACATACTAGTTTAACAATATATTTGACTGGGCCTTTATTTTACTTTAATATTAAATCAGAATTTAATCAAGCTTTGGAATGTTACATACCTTTGCTTGTTAGATTAACCAACTTTATTTTTGTGTTCAAAGTTGATACAAGCTCTAAATAAACGAGGTCGAACGCTTGATGTTGCGAATGAAGCTAGTTCACTAGCTTGGGGTGATTGATCGTACTTTTAGTTTATTTTTATTTATAATTATGTTCTTGTATGATCTGATAAATGGTCCAATATTAGGCCATCAACTAAACAGAGGTTCTATAAATTTGATCAATTTTCATTTACTTACCCAACTTCTAAATATTGATTTTAGAAATAGTAGCACCACATATAAGTATCATCATTTATAACGTCATGGTCGGTTTATTAAGGATTTTGCGAAAGATAGATACTCGTGTGAATTTAAGCACAAAACTTATCAGATCAATAGATTTTTGGAGGCACCATTCACACACTGCAACACGATACAGAACATTGTATATATATATGATGGAGAGAAGAGAGACATTTATTTAGCCAAAGTTGAAATCGTTCAAAATATGGCCAGCAAACTATAGACTGACTGGATCTGGCAGATAATTAGATGTTAAAAATACATCACGTATGTTCTTTTACAAAAATACGCATATTGTATTGCATGTCATATTGAAATCAAGTCATAACAGATATAGGATGAACTAGAGATGCTTACTATAGGAGGATGGAAAGAATGGCGTTATAGATCATCTACAAGTATGATTTAGCAGCAGCAGCAGCAGTTTTATTGTTATTATCATATACAGGTTTCATCGATGCTTTTCTCTATAACATCGATGCAAGAAGCAATAGATTTTCCTTCGGACATGGCCTTAGCAAGATGAGCTCGTGCTTGTTCATGACGACGCAGAATTAGGATGGTGTTCAGTACAGCCCATCTCACTTGAGAATCTGCTTTCTTCTGAGTGAATCCCAAGCTGTTTAGCAACCCATCCAACTATTTCACAACAACAATTAACAATGACTTGATAATTCCAAGCGAAATTTATTTATTTATTCAATCAAACCATCAATGTAACAATGGTTTTGATAAATAACAATTTCTTACATTTATTATTCAAGGGTACTTTAAACATTATACAAATACCTTGACTAAGGAACAAAGGTCACTGCTGATTGAAGGTAAGAAAGTGTACCGTGCTAACATCAGCAAGTCCTCCTTCAGCATAACCATAAAGAAGATATTCGGTTGCAACTCCTGCTAAAGCTATGCACGAAAATTTGTTCAACATCTGAAATCATATTCTCGAGATCAATTAGCTTTTCTTCACCACTGCTCATTGAATTTTTAAGGTATCCCATACACTTAATAGCAGGAGCGATGCCCTAAGCACAACTTAGTAACTCAAGTCTTGGTTGGAAGCTATTAGTAGCCCCAAAACTTGAAAAGGGAACCACAATTCGTACTCATGACGGATGTGGGACACATGATTTCAGAGATGGGTGTATTTGAGCCAAGCAAGAGCTTGCTCAGCAGAAGGAAAAGTTGGTAAGACCCAAGCACATGGGCTACTATTTCTAAAATCAATATTTAGAAGACTTCAGAAGGAAAAGTTGGTAAGACTCAAGCACATGGGCTACTCTTATGCGGTATTACCTTAAATACTATATTCCCATGAAATATATGTATTCAGCGAGATTATGTGATAAATAGGAGACATACCGTGGCCGATACTCTTCCTGCGCTTATCTGCACATATACAAAGTTGCACACTGAAGACCAAGTCAAGTCTACGTTGGGCTCTAGAAAATTAGGATCCACTTATGTTGTTCGTTCTCCAATTTCAATTTACTTCAGTAAAAATATTTGATGATTTTTTTAACGATAAAATCAGTTAAGAGAATTTGGAGATAAACCACATAAATCAACAAATTTGAATTTAAGAAGTGCAATTGGAACAATGATATAAGAAGGCTTACTTCGTCAGTGAACTCAAAATCAACAAAAGTTGTCCCTGCTTGAACATTAAGCGATCCTTCCTGCTGAAAAGCTTCCAAACTGGATAGCGTATATCCCTTGGGAAGTATTCCCAGCAAATATGCAATCAAGAAATGTCCAGCTTCATGCTACAATACACAAAGGCATAGTTGATAAATCAAACCACAATGGTTCGAAAATCTAATAGACATTTTGCACTCATGGCATTGTCATATATAGAAGAAAATCTTCCAACTGGTTATATCTCAATAAGATATGGCAGTTAATTGGAATGGGGTTTCAGGGGAGAGAGAGAGGTGCTACTTGGATAACTCTGTTGTGATACTTTTGACTGATCTTATGGCCAATAGTATCAAGGACCAGGCTGCTAAATCCTCCACCAAAAGAGACCTACAAACAATCAATTCCATTAGACTAGAGAAACTTCTAGATAATGTACAGATTTTTTGGTTAATAGACTTTCACTTTGTAAGAAAACCAAACCAAGCCGAAACATACCAAATGTAGAGATATTCTATATCCTTAAAGATACTCGATATCCTTGTAAAATAGGAATTATTATGTTTTTAGAGATTAGGGTAATATTTTAATTAGCTGTTGTGAATATCTTCTTTGTGGGTTGGGAATCTTTTCCTTTTCTTCTTGGATTCTTTGTGTGTGTGTGTGTGTGTGTATATATATATATAGCCTTTGTACCTCCCTCTTTTGAGACAAGTGCAATAAAAGAATTCCACGTGGTATCAGAGCTTCTCTGATCCGAAAATAAAAAACTTAAACGTGCAGATGACAAAGAATTCAACCGCAATAAGGTAGCAACCACTTAAAACAATTTGTTTTGTTTTCATTATGGGCATTTTACAAGTTATCAATGAGGTATTATCCCACATATGACACTTAGCGTTATTGAAAAACAAACACAAACACAATAAGGTAGCAATAAAAGAATTCCACGTGGTATCAGAGCTTCTCTGATCTGAAAATAAAAAAACTTAAACGTGCAGATGACAAGTGCAATAAGGTCTTTTATTGCACTTGTCTCAAAAGAGTGTTAGTTAACTAGGACTAGGTCTGAGAGTAGCTTTGCTATATTACATATACAAGGGACTTGCATCAGTGACCTGGTCCTCTGACAAGTTTTCAAACAAAAGAATCAAATTATGAATTAATCCTTTGGTGATGCAAAAGACAGATGCTTCGTGCCCATCAAGCAATACTTAAGCTTAAGATTTGACTTAGTTAAAAATTATGTCCTGGATTTGAATGAAAATCTATGGCTGAGTTTGGGTATTTGATTGAATTTGTTGTAATTTATACAATGTGGCCCTAGCATTTCTGTTGATATGTCTTCCTAAACATTTGACGGGATAGCTATTAATATGTACATGTACATGGCCCGACTTTTGAGCTGCTATGGCTGCATACATGAGTCAATGTGTTGGGAAAAGAGGAAGAGCCTAACAATAGCTGACAGGTTATGTGTGTGTGTGCATACGCAGATTGGTAAGATCTGCAAAGAGGGTTATGATGCCACCCTCTGGAGAGCGCCTATCGTACCTGTCCCGGCCATTAGTGTAACACCCTAGCTTCTATATTTGTTATATTTCAATGTTTTAAGCCTTAAATATAAGTATTATGATCAAATTAAGTGCACTAAAAAGGTTCCAGCAGCTGTAGCATCTTGAAAATCATCATATTTTCAATGATAAGTAGCTTACAAGGATAAGCATGACAAAGCAAGTTAGTGTTGTCAAGGCAAGAAGCATGTGTTGGCAAAATTATTGATGACAAAGCAAGTCCCATAAGCACGATAAAGCATGCTAGTTATGAGTTGTTAAGGCTAGAAGCATGTGTTGGAAAAATTCATGATCAAGCAAGAGCTAAAAGCATGAAAAATAAAAGCTAGAAGCATGATGTGTCAAGATTCTTTTATCTTAAGCATGAAGGGTTAAACTCTCATAAGAGTGCTTGAGAGTAGTTAACGCAACGTATTCACCTATAAATAGTGCTTGCAATGTTACCATTTGTTCTATACCAAAATAAGAAATCACTCTCAAATACATTATCAAGATTTCATTAAGAAATCAAAGGAAAAGCTAGGCTTAATTAAGGTGAGTATGTTATGAGATTTATGAGATACATACATGCTATATAAGAGTGTTTTATGCATTATGCAGAAATTGATAAGATGTTTTGGCATATTTGCTTTACATGAAATGATGATACATTTACATCTTCAAGATATGCATGATGGCATGTTATGATATAAGTATGTGTTTTACACGCAAGGCATGAAAGCTTTTGCATGTTATATATGACCATATCCAGCGTACAGATATTACAAGGGACGTCTTGCAAACGGACCTTATGCTTTTATGGACCTCGAGGTTAGCAAACCTCAAGGCAAGTATGGCATACTTACATGTTGCAAGTGAGATCTCAAAGAAGTATTTTTATGCATGATAAAGAATTTTAGTGAATTATTATTCACAAAGTGTAAGTACCAAGAAAATTGTTTATTCATGGAACCATAACTACTCACAAAGTTTTTTAGCTTATGTATCTCGAGGAAGGAGTAAATAGGATTTGCATGTAGTATTGTTCTAATCAATAGCAAAATTTTGTTGTATTATAAGCTATATTGAGTTACGTTTCCGCTAGGTATTCTCTACCTACCCACCTGTCTCGGTTTCGGTTTCGGTTTCGGTTTCGGGTAGTATTTGAACTCCGATGTAATTATAAGCTAAGTTATAAATAAAGTTAAATTTCAAGTTCATATTCAAGACTTAGTAGTATCTTAAGAAGGTAATGGCACCCGAAGTAGGATTTGGCGTTACAATTAGGGGTAGATACATTGTGTCCGTGTGGATGGTGCCTCGAGTTGATTCCAACCCACCCACTAGTTTGCAAGGATGCACACCTCCTTCCCCCATTAGGTTAAAGTTGCGGGGACACTAAAACAGTAAGGGCTTGTTTACCAAAATTTGCGAGTAAGCGCTGAATGGAGCAAAAGGTTTGACTACAGTAAGTGCTGATTGAAAATTGTTGTTTACCAAATGTTTTGTATTAAAGGTTGACAGAGTAAAATGAACCCTATATCTATCCAAGTTGACCGGAAATTATTGTTTAGCAAAAAAATTTGTAGTAAATATTAACAAATAAAATTATTGTTACCAAATCTTTATTTTGTATGTACTCTCAAACTCTTTTAAACTTATCGAAGTATATGATGTTCAATATGATATAATATCATATTACAAAGTGACATCTTTATAAAACGAATTTACAACTTGACAACACATTCACCCCAACAAATTACAACTTAACAACACATCCTCCAAGACCACTCTAACATCCTCCAACACCACTTGATCATAGAGACTATTTTTTTAAAGACGCCAGAATTCCAAATCTTCCACCATCCCCACACACTTCCTCTCTAATATTGTAACACCCTAGTTTCTTTATTTGCTAAATCTCAATGTTTAGGCCTTAAATACAAGATTTTGTAAGTAAATTAAGTACTCTTAAAAGAGTCCAACAGCTGTAGCATTTATCAAACTATCATATTTATAAGGCAAGTAGCTTATGTTATGATTTTATGTCATGATGCAGATGTGGTATATGAAAGTTTTTATACATGTTAAGTATAGCCATTTAAATATCCAACTTACGGGATAAAGAAAGAAGGTACGTCTTGCTAACAGATCTTATTGGGCAGCCCTTATGTGGACCCGAGGTGAAAGAACATGTGAGAAGTTGGTTTACTTAACATGTAACCATGAGATCTCAAAGAAATGCTTTTATACATGAAAGTTTATAAGAATTATGTTAACTATTTGGAAAGAATGTTTTATCATGAAACCGTAACTACTCACTAAGCTTAAAGCTTAGGTATTCATATATGTATCTCAGGAATCAAGGAGTAGGAACAAGCTGAAGTGTTGCTATTCTAAGAGGTTAGAATATTATAAGTTGTAAATTTCCGTATTTCCGCTGCTGAACTAATTCTATTATAACGAAATAAAAGTTTAGATGAAGTTTCTTTCATTCGCTTGTACTAAGGCCAAAGGACGATACCCCCGGGAACGAGATGTGTTACAAATGGTACCAGAACATTAGTTTAAGTGAACTAAGATTGCCTTAGATTAGGTAACTTAGACTTAAATCGAGGAGGATAATATTGGGTATTAAAGCATTATATTCAAAATAACTAACATATATCCGAACTCCATCAAATTAGTTCGCTAATTTCTCATCCTGGTTGATATAATCATATGGGATAGTGTCTAGAAAGGTTGAACCGGCTGAGTTGTTGACTTCAAAACAGGAGAAGTCATATTATAATTGCACTGAACAGATACTAGCTCCCGTGATACCGGCCTGGCTATTTCATATTGGTAGTCAGACGGATTAGTAAGAAGTGTTGATCTTATTAAAATAAAAGAGTTGTGGTGTAAGAGAAATAGATTACAAACTCGCATAACCTTAAAATCTTAAGATTTAAGAATTTATACTTTGATGGAATACTTCACTAAGAGTTTATTCATCGATGAAATACTTTAGTAAAATTTCCTTTATTATGTTGAAAAATGGTGATCAAATATCAGCTAGTTAAGTAGTATGTGGGACGACAATTAAATGATCATGCTGAATCAAGATTTGCTAATTTAGTGTATTATTCTCAATTGTACTCAATATTGTCCATATCATAGTAGCCATGTTTTGATATATAATATCAGACAATGTTAAAAGTTAATATTATTGAAAGTAGATAATTCAGGTCAAACTTGTTAAAAGGTATATACAACTATAATACAAAACTATGACGCAAAAAGATGTTTGGGACATATATTTTGTCATTTTTATTATCAAGAAAGTCTGGAAAGGGAACAATCTTGTTGGAGTGCAAGAATGGTGAGCAACAAGTCGTATCAGAAGTCTACTATATACCGGCTCTTCACAACAACATTCTTAGCCTTGGTCAGTTAACTGAGATTGGTTACAAGGTTGAGATGGTGGATGAATATCTCAGACTTCATGATGAATCTGATCGTTTAATTATGAAGGTACAACGCTCCAAAAACCGGTTATACAAAATCGCTCTTCAAACAACACAACCTGTATGTTTGCTGACAAATTTAGACAACGAGGCTTGGGTATGGCACGCTAGATTGGGACACGTAAACTTTCGTGTCATCGAATGGATGGTACGGAAGGACTTAGTACGGGATGTACAGAGTATAAAGCATCTGGCACAAGTTTGTGAAGGTTGCATGGTTGCGAAGCAAACGAGACAGTCGTTTCCTAAAGAGTCCCTTTGGCGAGCAAGTAAGCCCCTTGAACTCATGCATGCAGACTTGTGTGGTCCTATTACTCCATCTACCGTTGCA